AGACCCCCCCCCCCAAAACACGGCAAAATACAATACAGAAACGGCTCAAACGCAACCTGCATAGGTGTGAACCTAGGCTAAAACCAGCTACTGGACACCTATCTAGTATCCACAATGGATAAAAAGTAGCACCATACACTTGTTCAAAAGGTGCAGCTCTTTTAGGATCTATACCTCTGATGAATGAATAATAATAGATAATATAAACCTCCCCAATGTAATAAATCTTCTCAATACAAGCATATTTAAAAGTATACTGCAATTGATATCCCATGCAAATAAATAGTAAATAAATCTCATTAAAACATGCTCTATAAAATTTTGTTAAAAAACGTATTAATACCATTACATTTATAACTTTTTATGAACTTTTACTTTTTATACATTTTATGAACAGCTAAAAGAAAAATCAAAGAAAGAAAAAGAGAAATGTGTCATCATCCTTGCCCCAACCGTTGCAAAATCGATCCTGGAAATTTGGGAACGTTTTTTTCAATACACTAACAGGCTTCTATAAGTTGAATCCAGAGAAAATGCAGTACATGCTTGCAACATTATAGTGACAACATCTTAGCATATGGTTATCTTACCTGCCTTCCCTCCATCGCTCCTCTCATTTCTTTAAATGCTGTAGTGAACTCTCCAATGAAGTCATGTTTTCCATTAGAATCCCAGTCCCAGACTATACACTAAAGACAACAAATATTACCATAAGGAATCATGACATAGTAGTATAGGTACATGAATTATCAACTACTTCTGTAACTTCATAAGTTCAAATGGCAAACAGCAGTCCAAACTGGGTTCTATCTCTAGTAGAACTACTTTCAGTCCTCATTCACACTTGACGTATTTACAGCAGCTGTTTTTGGCGTTTGGTGTTTTTTCTACAGTCAATAAACTCCCCAGCATGTTATCCTATGTGTCCATGCACACATAGGCTGTAATCAACGTTTTTTGGCTGGGACGTTTTTTTGGCTGGAAAAACCCCCCAAAACTAGTGGGTTTCTAGAGGAGTTTTTCAGCTGTAAAAATGCTGAAATGCGGTAAAACGCGGATAAACACCATACAAAAACACTGAAAAACTCACGTTTTTAAAGCGACTGTAAACCCAGCTAACGCTAGCAGTGTGAGGAAACATCAGTGTGCATAAGGACTTTAGGCACAGCAAAAGCACATAATATAAAGTGTACATGTATGGAAGAGTTAAACCGTCTGCTAGGTTTTTTTTGTGCTATCTGTATACCATTGAGGAAATTTCCCTTGACTTCCTGTCTCAGAAATGCAACAGGATGTAAGGAGACTCCCCTTTTAGACAGTTATCACTGTAACAAGTGTCCCCATTAAAGGATTTCTTCCATCTCTTCTTCTGGGGACAACTCTATAATTTTCACTGTGACTGTAGCCACCAGTACAAATAGAGAGGTGCATCTTCCCAGTAAGGGCATTGACAGCAATAAATAGGCTGGTGAAAAAGAAAAAAAAACTGCTTTGTTCAAAACCCTGATTACCATGGCAGATGACAAAGAACTGAAGAGGACGTGGCGGTAATATTGTGATAAGTACAGATCTATGGAGGGGGAGGGTGGGACTTAAAACAGAAATCCATGAAAAAAAAATTGCCAGTGCAGTGGGGCTGTTTCAGCACTGCATAGGTTAAATGTTCATTTTATTCTAGGGGAGAGGACACTGAAGACCACCTTTCTCGCACAAGACCTGTCCTTTCTGGTCCTGCCCCCCCCCCCCCCCACGGTCCAGCGGTTTTGTAAATGGACTGTTTCTGATATCAGGATGCTCAATGCGCACTCCACAGACAGGAACAGTCCACTATTGCACCGTGGGGGAGCGCAGATTTCCGTAGGATCGGTGGGTCAGGTGAGTATAAGCTTAGATCTCACCCTTAGGAAAAATGAACATCTGACCCATGCAATCGGGGCACAGCCCCACTGCATGATAAAAAAAAGATGTAACTGGAGTTCTGCTTTAAGTAGTCAGGAGGTTGGAGAAAAAGAAAAATGTGTACATTGTTCAAAAGTAAACTTATTCTTTAAAGGAACCATGGACCAGAATGGGACAAGGTGCAACATGCCCTTTGTCCCTTGGAGGATTTATCTAACATTTTTCATATGTGATGATACATTTTCTTTAAGGGTAAGTTCACACCACTGGACTGCGATAATGGACATTGGTGTGATGCGGTGCAATTCATTCTGAAGGGAACTCAATGCATCTCGTAAACAGATGGGAATTGCAGCACCCTACAATACAAGGTAATGCAGTATCGTGCATTGTTGTACAGTGCATTAGGAAAATAGTATATACAACTTTTTGGAAGAAGGAAACACAGCGGCGCTGTGTCCTTCTGTGCATTAGTGTTGCTTCTTACTCTGACAACTTGCTGCCACTTACACCATACACTCCGGGATCAACATCCATTAGCAGGAGTTATTCACCTTTGGACTTGTACATATAAGGACATTTTTGTACATATAGATGTTTTATTCCAATTGGCCACAACCTATCCCATTTAACCTTTTTATTTATATATGACCATCTGTTGGGTTGCATATCTGTATTGTCTTCTAGAGCTCCCCACCTGTTCCCTTTTATACAGTTTTTTGGTGTGTTAGGCAGCTCAAACCAGCTGCCGACAAGATCTGTTCTTGTATTTACACTGGAAGAAATACCATTAAGGGTCCTGTTCACTTCTAGTCCATTTACATTGTTTTCAGTCTCAAGCCCTAATAAAGGGGCTGTTTTTGGATTCCCGAAGCACGTCGAATGCTCTTGAGAGTGTTCCCCTGACATCTATTGGAATAAAGCAGTTTCTGTACCTTTTAGCAGTGGTGTGATGCTTCAAATTACATTCAAATGAATGGGCTGCCTTAATGCAACGCACTTAAGGATAATGCACATTGATTTGTATGCACTAACACGGACCAACCATTTGAATGGGCCCCAATAGAAATAACTTGAAGGTGCTTAGGCTGAGACTTATCTACTCTGTTCACTTCTCTAAATGAGTGAGATGAAGTAACACTAGGCCCTAGGCATGATGCCTAATGGGTGCCTATGTAGTTATATTGTGCTCCATCCAGACCTCCATCAGTGTGGCAGCCAGTCGCTGCCATCTACTGTAACCAATGAGAACACATAAAAATGCTTCCACAACCCACTTCCTTTGCTGGGCTCTGATTGATGACATCATCTAACTCAGAGCCCAGAAGAGGACGCTTTCATCTGCCACCTCTTTGTTTACAAGTGACAGCAATGATAGGCTGATTTGTCATTGCTTCTGTGGGTCCATATTCATGGAGTGCTGAATAGAGATTGATTTAACTACATAGGCGGTCACTGCTCAACTCTGCACCCCCCCCCCCCCATCCAGGCCCAGGCACTATAACAGATGCATGTGGTTAAGCCTTCTCCACTCTACCAAAAAAAAACCCAAAATGTTTTTCACTTTCATTAAAGGAGAAGTACTGCCAAAGCTTTTTTTTGTTGTACTTCTCTTGTTGATCACAAGAGTGCAGTTTGTTCTCCACTCCTGTGACCCAATTTCAACTTCACTCAGCTGGTCAAGGCTGGGGAAAGATCCCACTTTAAAGTCGGGAACCACCCCAGAGTCTGGAGTGGCAGCTGGCTCAGCCTCTCAGCAAGCCTGAATCATCTGCTCCCTTCCCCTCCGTAGCCCAGTGCTCCAGTGAGTGGAGTGGGGGGCAGAGAAGACAGCTGTGAATGACAGTCATCGCTCTCTGCTCACAGCAGCGGTGAGAACTCAGCGATTAGCAGTCATGTGATCTCTGAGTTCTCACTCTTAGAGCCGGCAGAGGACAGATGCAGCATCAGACTAATGCTGCATCTACCTAGGTAAGTGTAATTTTGAAAAAAAATAAAACCCATATGTGACGGAAGGTAGGCAGGACAGAACACACAGAGTAGATGGCAAACGCACAAAGCTTTATTAAGGCAAACAGATGACAGTCACTGAATAAGGGAGTTCGCAGGGAGGGTGAATACGCCAGTAAAGGGCGGCAAGGAGGGGCCAACCCACTTAAAGTCCAACACCGAGAGCCAAGGAGTCTCTGTAGCAATTGTAATCCAATGGGGGGGGGTCAGCACAGGAACAGTTCAAGTGAAGCAGGGAGAGAGCATATACTCATGGATGCGACAGGGTGCCTGGTCTCCTACTGGGGGTCTCTGGATCTCTGGCAGCTGGTAGGCAACTCGCAATCTCTCCCCTAGGCTGGGGGTCTCTGGATCCCTGGCAGCTAGCAGGCAGTCCCGCACTCTCTCCCCTAGGCTGGGGATCTCTGGATCCCTGGTGGCTAGCAGGCAGTCTTCCACTGCTCTGGGGGTCTCTGGATCCCTGGTGGCTAGCAGGAAGTCTTCCCCTGCTCTGGGGGTCTCTGGATCCCTGGTGGCTATCCGGCAGTCTTCCCCTGCTCTGGGGGTCTCTGGATCCCTGGTGGCTAGCAGGCAGTCTTCCCCTGCTCTGGGGGGGTCTTAGGCAGGCTTGGGTCTCTGCAGAGTCTGGCCATGAAGGTCCCGCCGCAGCTGGGGCTCCTTCAGTGGCTGCACAGCGGTGAATACCCCGGGAGCGCCTGGCATCAGCTCCTTAAGCTGATTTCGGACGCCCCCTAGTCGCCTAGGCAACCGGGCGGGCCAGAGCTGGCGCCTCTGTGAACGCGGCCTTTGTCCAGGGACATCCACAAATGTGGGAACTTCCCGTGCCCGTACTGCGGATGTCAGGGCTCGTGCGGCTCCAGCCTTTCATCTCTGCAGGAGGTGAGAGGGGTCCCGCACCTCTCGTCCTGAGGCTCGGCTTCAAAGAGCCATGCCTGGACAGCAGGGGGGACCTGAGGGGAAGGACGAGGGACAGCAGGGACAGGAGAAACAGCAGGGGGGCCTGAGGGGAAAGACGAGGGAGAGCAGGGACAGCAGCTGTGACACCATACTTCTCTTTTAAATGTTATGTTGATTTTAGGCGAAAAGACATTAACCACTTGCCCTCCAGAGGATTTACCCCCCTTCCTGATCAGGCCATTTTTTGCGATACGGTGCTGCATTACGTTAACTGACAATTGTGCGAACATGCAACGTTGGACAAAAATTAAATTTTTGTCCTTTTTTCCCACAAATAGAGCTTTCTTTCGGTGGTATTTGATCGCCTGTCCGTTTTTTTTTTTTGTGCTATAAACAAAAAAAGACCAACAATTGTGAAAAATAAAACAATACTTTTGATTTTTGTTATTAAACATGTCTGGTAATAAAAAAAGTTTAAAATCAAATTTCGGCCCAAATTTCAGCCAAAATGTATTTTGCTATATGTCTTTGCTAAAAAAAATCCCAATACGTGTAAATTAATTTGTTGACGTGAAAGTTATAGCGCCTACAAATGGCAGTATATATACTGTAATTTTTATTTTACTAGTAATGGCGGCGACCAGCGACTTATTGTGGACTGCAGCGGCATTCTGACACTGGGGAGAACTGCCACTGACATCCCCAGTGACACTAATACAGTGATAATTGATAAAAAAAAAAGCACTGACACTGTACTAAGGACACCTGGCAGGAAGGGGCTAACATCTGGGGTTAACTGTGTGCTGTTATGTTTTAATGTGTGTGCTGTCTGTATTTTACTAGGGAAACAAGCTGCTTTGTATTGCTCTACTGTGCAGAGCAATACGAAGCAGTCTGTTTGTGCTGACAGAGGAGAGATCTGCATTGTTTATATACAGTTGTGACCAAAATTATTCAACCCCCACTGAAATTGAGTGTTTTGGCCAGTTTGACATTGCTTTTGATCATTCAGTCATCTTGCTTACATTTACATTAAAGAGGCACTTGTAGGTCAGACAAATATAACATAACAGTTATAATGAAATAACCACAAATGTCTTTTCTGTGCTCACAGCATTATCAGTTTTATTCAACCCCCAAGTGACATTCAATCTTAGTACTTAGTACAGCATCCTTTTACAGTTATAACAGCTTTTAAACGTGAAGCATAGCTTGACACAAGTGTCTTGCAGCGATCTACGGGTATCTTCGCCCATTCTTCATGGGCAAAGGCCTCCAGTTCAGTCACATTCTTAGGCTTGCGCACTGCAACTGCTTTCTTTAAGTCCCACCAGAGGTTCTCAATCGGATTTAAGTCTGGTGACTGCGATGGCCACTCCAAAATGTTCCAGCCTTTCCTCTGCAACCATGCTCTAGTGGACTTGGAGGTATGCTTGGGATCATTGTCCTGTTGAAAGGTCCAACGTCTCCCAAGCCTCAGGTGTGTGACGGACTGCATCACGTTTCCATCCAATATCTCCTGGTACTGAAGAGAATTCATGGTACCTTGCACACGCTGAAGCTTCCCTGTACCTGCAGAAGCAAAACAGCCCCAAAGCATGATTGACCCTCCACCATGCTTCACAGTAGGCAAGGTGTTCTTTTCATCATAGGCCTTGTTCTTCCTCCTCCAAACATAGCGTTGATCCATGGGCCCAAACAGTTCTAATTTTGTTTCATCAGTCCACAGAACACTATCCCACAACTTTTGTGGTTTGTCCACATGGCTTTTGGCATACTGCAGTCGACTCTTCTTATTCTTTGGAGGAGACAGCAAGGGGGTACGCCTGGGAGTTCTGGCACGGAGGCCTTCATTACGCAGTGTGCGTCTTATTGTCTGGGCTGAAACTTCTGTACCCACATCTGACAAATCTTTTCTCAGTTCCCTCAGCAGTCACACGGGGACTTCTCTCCACTCTACGCTTCAGGTAGCGCACAGCAGTCGAAGTCAGCATCTTCTTTCTGCCACGACCAGGTAGCGTTTCAACAGTGCCCTTTGCCTTGAATTTGCGAATGATGCTTCCTAAGGTGTCTCTTTGGTATGTTTAACATCTTTGCAATCTTCTTATAGCCATTGCCCTTCCTGTGAAGAGAAATCACCTCTTCTCTTGTCTTCCTGGACCATTCTCTTGCCTTCACCATGTTTGTAACCACACCAGTAAATGTCTAGAAGGAGCTGAGTATCACAGTCATTTTAAAGCTGCCTAATTGGTGCTTATTATGCTTGATTGCTGCTCGGTGACATCCACAGGTGTTTTCAATACCTGATGGAAAGCACCTGTATGAACCTCTGTTCTTCAGAGTGGTAGTCTTTAAGGGGTTGAATAATTGTGGCAATGAAGAAACCACAACAAGAACCATTTACTACTGTATTACATAAACAATTGATGTCATTTTAGTTGCATTTGGGTAGTTACAACGTCCTTGTAGGATTTGATTCTGAATACAATTCCAAATGTACACTATAGTCCCTAAACCCCTTTACAGCATTGGGGGTTGAATAATTTTGGTCACAACTGTATATATATATATATATTGCACATCCCTGCCACCCTGTATAATCTCTACAGATAGAGATAAGTGCATCCAGGGGTGTAACAACAGATCATGGGGCCCCATAGTAATATTTAGAAAAAGACCCCCCCAGTGATCTCTTGATCTTTATATTACGTGTGCCAAAATGAAGGACAGGTAGCGGCAAAGCTATCAGAATAATTTCTACACTACTAGTGAGCATTGCTGTGGATAGAAGGTGTAAGAAGATGGGGGTAGGAGGGAGGCAACAGTGCACATTGTAAATCCTAATTCCTCCCAACGCTTCTATTGCTAGAAGCAAGTGCTGAAAGCAATGGTTTATTAGTAAGTAAAAATTTAAAAAAAATTGTTTGTAGTAGCAAAAATAAAAATTATGAGAATATTTTTTGTTACTACCAGTGTTTCTCTATAACACTAAACCGTGGTTCTCACCGCTGCGTTTTCAGGTGCGATTTGGGAATTGAAATCGTACCTGAAATTGGATCTGATGAATGTGAATGTGTCTTAAAATACGCGATTTGCTGAAGCGCGATTTCAAAAGTAGTTCTTGTATTACTTTTTCTGCAGTTTGTTGCGATTTCACATACATAGACTACAATAGAAATCGCACTGCAAAACGCAATGGAAAAATGCAAGAAATCTTCACAAGTTGCAAACGAATCTTCAGAAAACGTGGTGAAATTGCCAACAAAAGGCACGATTTTAAATCACATCCAGTGTGTACCAGGCCTCAGTCGTACGGTTTCAAAGTCGGGCTTGATGTGAATGAAGGGTAATACGCATTTCTTTAAACTTTTTGCAGGAATACAGTCCGTTCCGGTTTTATTTGAGAGGACACACATATTTTTTATTGTCTGATGAAGACAGTATTAGGCATACAGGGTTAATTCAAGTGCTGGCCAAGATGACCAGAAGTTCTAACACAATCAGATTGTGTAATCAAAGTAGTGCAAGGGCCTGCCTGATTGGATACAAATTGCTTGGTTGGATTAAGTAGGTGCTGATGTGACATAGTTGTGATATATCCAAAATTGGTTGTACAAAGATTATATGGTTAGTTTGTAATGTGTATGGTGACCTTAAGACAACTAAACAAATATTTCTTTCTGCATAGCCCGCAAAGGGGATCTGTGACTAGCAATTATCCTGATCCTGTAGATTCCTAAAGTCAGTTCTTCATTATTGGAAACGTCACAAAAGTACAGGGTCAGTGTTAACAGCAACCTCTCCAATCCTGAAAAGGTTACTAAGCCCAGGACCCTGCATTCACTATGTATATCTGGTCTCCCACAGTACACACAACATGGAAATGCAATTATTTTAGTAAATATAAACTGCAAAATACCTTTACTCATCAGCAGTTAGAGCAGCCTTGTGACTTCTATCAGTGTCCAGCAGAGCACTGGTTAAAACTTGCAGGAGGAGTTTTTATTCTCCCCTGATTGTCCTATGAGGCTGCAGGACCCCTGACCCTCTGTCTGGAAAGTGCAGATCACATGCATTCTCCCAAGAATAAAAAAAATTCTCTAGTAATACACATCAAACTGAGCATGTGCAGAATGACTCCTAGAGCTCTGTACTATCAGCAGATGGTTTGGGGACAGTGGGACAAGAGGAAGATCAGAGAAGACAGGAACAAACAGCCTTTTTAAACAATGCGAAGGATTAACCCCTTAGGTTCCACAGTGAGTATAACAAGCATGCTTAACAGCATATACAGACTGATTTTACTGTAGTGGGTTTAGTAACACTGTAATGATACCATACTGGATTTATCCTATTTTTTTTTATTTTTCTGCATACATATTTTCTATGTTTAATATGTCTTTAGTAGCCTTTCTAAGGTCCCAGAGTAGCCACGTGGGCTGCAATAGCTATAGTTATGCCACTGGTTGTATCTCTGCAGTACGTGCACTTCTACCAATAGGCTGTCTCCTAAAAATCCTGCAAGTACAGAAGAATACCTGTAGATCCTCCAGAAATCTGGTGTGCTCTTAACTTTTGAGTTGACAGCAGGGGCGGACTGACCATTTGGAAACTCGGGCACTGCCCGAGGGCCCGGGGTCAGTAGGGGGCCCCATGAGACGCCCCTGGTACTTTTTTCATAGGCTTTTTTGAGTTTGGGTAAGGACACAGGGGCCCCATGATCCCCTATTGCCCGGGGGCCCCATGAGTTGTCAGTCCGCCCCTGGTTGACAGTACAGCGCTTCTGCTGTACTGAAATGCCAAGTAGTGTTAGTCCTGCCTAGGTTTTATCTGCTGAACTACAAAACACTTTCCCACTCTTCTAATCTTCCTAACATATAGGGGAGGTGTCCTGTGGTTCTGCAGAAAAGACGTGGGCAGAGCCAGAAGAGAAGTGGGCACAGCTGATAACACTGTTCAGGATTTCAGTGCGGCAGAGGCACAGTTGAGGATCAACAGGTAGTTTTCTGTACTTTCGGCAATTTTAAGGGATACAACTTGGGGAAATGTACATGTATTGCGTAGATGTATTGCATATGTTTTATTTATTTTTGCCAAGAACAGCAGTGTTTACCCTTTATGGGCACTTGCTTGCTGTGGTGGTGAAAGGGGTGGGTGGACTTAGTTTTTTTTTTTAATTTAACTTTGATTTTCCAGTACAAAAAAAACCCAACACATTTATAAAAATATTTCACATATACACATTCCATTTACCCCGATATTACGCCCCCAACCCATTTTCCCCATTAACAGCCTATTTCCTGAACTATATCTTTTATCTATCTATGTATTATCTATCTATCTATCTATCTATCTATCTATCTCTGCTGCTACTGCTCTCCCTCAAATTCTCCATTAAGGCTCTCTCCTGACTTCTAAACATCCCCTTCAATTCCAACCAGTTCCATATATATTTCAGAGGATTTAAATTTCAGCCAACTACACACATGTTTTCCTGAATTTTTCCATTT